GGCACGACACGTCAACCTGTTTTCAATTTGCTTTTGCCACGTCATAAAAAAATAATAAAAAATGCCACGTGAGCGAGTTAACGATAAAAATTAACAGAAGGACTAACGGAGTGCATTTCATATAGTTGAGGGATAAAAAAAGTGTAAAAAATTGTTAAGGGATCAAAAATGTGCAAACCACTAAAGTTGAGGGACCAAAACTAGCATTTAACCTATAAAGAAAGATTCAAAATATGTTAGTCAAATTTTTGAAGTCTTAAAGTGTTAAACTTGGGCTAAATAATTCTATTATTGGCCTTTAAACATTTTATTATTATAATAATTATTATTATATAAACTTATTTGAATTAAATATATATTTTAAAATAATAATAATTAATTTTATATTAAAAATTGTATTCAAAATTAAATTTCATTTTTAGGGAATTATTTTTTCCAATCTAGATAAAATTATTAATAACTTAAATTTTTTATCACAAATAAATTTGTGACAATTTTTTTATCACATTAAAAGATTTTGTTTTTTGACAAAAAATAGATATTACAAAAGAAAAACTATTTAAATACCCTTAATTTTATTTTTATATTATTTTTTCAAACACGTTTAAATAATTTTACAGAACAAACTACATACAGTTTACCATATAAAACATATTTACTCTTTAAATTTAAAAAATTACTCTTTTTCGTTAGATTTAACGGAAATTTTGTATGATAAATTATTTTAAAATATTTTTCAAAGTTTATAAGCCATCTAAAAAGAAAATAAAATTTTAAAATTAAAATAAAATTAAATTGATAATTAATAAACTAATAATTAAATTAAGCCATTTTTTAATCGAGAGTACTGATTGGGGGTTGGAAAGTCGGAGCCTGAATTGTAGGCTGAAATTTTTTTTGCCATCTAAAAAGAAAATAAAATTTTAAAATTAAAATAAAATTAAATTGATAATTAATAAACTAATAATTAAATTAAGCCATTTTTAATTTTTTTTTTTTCAATTGCATTTTGTCGCCCAACCGTAGTCAGTAGGAGGGAATGACAAATCATTTATTGCTCTCCTGTAAAATGGCATGGGAAATGTGGACAATCTGTTACCAATGGTGGGCACTTTTTGACAGCTAGTCAGAGAAAGTCTATAATATCACGGGGATACCACGTCAGTGGTATCCCGAACTAATAGAAGAACACCACGTCACTCTACAGTAACACGTCAGGTCATGTTACTGATTCATCATTTAACAGAGATCGCATTTAACGAAAACTAAAACCTTCGTTAGTTATCGACAAAAAAACTGGAAAGGCATCAGAAAAAACATCCTGCAATAATAAACTCAATCCACTACCATCTGAAACATTTTCTCCAAACTCTAAAAACCCATCTAGCCAAAGACAATATGATTTCCCAGGTAACAACATAATACAAAAGATATACGCAGGTTTTTTCAATTTAGCCTCTCAAAATTTTCAATTTAGAAAAGAAAATCTCTTTAATTTCTCTCAGATTCCCCTCTTCCTCTCTGCTCGGGCTCTCCTTTTGAGTTCCTTTCTTGGATCTCCTTCAATTTCTCATGAATTTTCTTTCTTTCCCAGGTTTTAAACTTTCCATTCTACACATTTTCAAGTTGCTTGACAAATTTTAGAAAGCTTGCATATGAAATTCAAGATATGTTACTGAGTTTAAGCGGAACTTAGCCGGCGATTTCGTCGACAACCTTAACGGAGGTTTCAATTTTCCGTTAAATGCTATCTCCGTTGTATGAAGAATCAGCAACGTTAATGTAGAGTGACGTGTTGTATTTTTATTGGTACGGGATACCACTGACGTGGTATCCCCGTGATATTCTAGACTTTCTCCATAATGGGAGGCAAACACTTTACAAACACGTGAACCCGACAGTCTCGCACCGAAAAGACACTGGAGGGAATAATTGGAGTACATCATGGTTTGCACTTTGGTAAAAGCCTAAAAATAGCCCCTTACCTTGATAAGTTAGACAGTTTTAACCCCTCACCTTATAATATAATAGTTTTAGCCTCTAACCTATAAAAATTGAAAAAAATAGCTCTTACCTCTAACTTTCGTCCATCGTCTGTCACCTCCGTCACTTTTCCGTTATATTTTCGTTAATTTTGTCCAGCTTATACCTATAATAAATTAAAAAATGGGAAAACTTCTCCAAGAAACCTGATGCTTTTTTTTTTTT